TGACAATACATTAGGTTGTGCCACAGCGCCACGACACGTTAGCCAACGTTCGTGAAATGAAATTGAATCATTTCTGCATGTTAATCACTGGGCCACGCCTCCAGGCAAGATCCATGTGGTATGGCATCAGTGGCAGTCAAAAAAACGGTCACATGACTGAACGCTCTGTACTGAAATTTCGACCTCGACATCACTTCAATTTTTACGTAAATTTCAACATAGGAACTTCAACTGATATTTCGGCACTATTTTTCGAATGATATTGTTGTCTACATGTCAGCTGGGGATCGGGTAGAGCGATGTTACCACTTACTTGGGCGGCAAATACTTGGCCCTGTGATCGTTCTTGCCTCAGATCACAAAAGTAGCAAGAAACAAACCGCAATAAGAGCACACAACAGTAAACGACACAAAGCCGCACACACGATGCAGTGGCAGTAAGAACTTTGTGGATGACTTAATCGGGTCCCTATCAGCTCCCTCTCCCCGCTGAGAATGTGGAAACACTTTCAATGACGGAAGTTCGCTAAGAGAGTAGATGCCACTAATACCGCATATTATTTGTAGCGGCAAATTAATTGTTTCTTTCTATTATCACTTCAATCAGACTAGTAAGCTGCAAGAACTAAAGTATAAATTGTAATAATTTTTTAAAACGTACGGTGATACGGTCGAAATTACGGTGATCACACTCCAGTACTTTACAAGAAGCTCTATTTTTGTACGCAAAAAACTATTTTATTTCGAAAATTTCACTACCCTTATGTATATTATAATAATGAAAAATCTTACACACTCATATTCACAACAATGCTCGCAGACTAATTCAGCTGTAACTGCAGTGGGAAATACGCACCAACCGTGAGAGGTAGAAAAAGACATCCTGCCAGAATGGCAGATATATACTCTCTGAGAATGGCCATCTTTACATAGAGGACTCATCAAATGTACATTTTGGATCAACAAAGTTTGTTGTAAACACGCCTAGTCAGTGTCGCCATCTATGATGCACGATCGGTAGTTGTACCTCGCTTCTCCCGCAGTCGTGTCCACGGCCAACGCCAACACAATGTTATTCTTGTGTCACTTTGAATTCAGTTAGTTATGTTAAAATAAAGAGTGGTTTGTGAAACGAGAAATGTGACTTCAATAATACCTGCACGACCACAACAAATTTAATACTGTAACGAGTCAAGTTTGTCAAAGATTTTTGATATCAAGAGCATGTTCGTGTGCACAACCTACCTGTACAAAAACGACACCATAGTGACCGACAAGATATATAAAATGTAGAAATCATAACCAGAGGTAGAATGAGCGCCTTACCGAACGGAGTGTGATATATGGTCAGGTGGACGACAAAACTTTATGGAATGTAAGACATTCAATTATAAGTGACTGAATTACTTAATTGTCGACAAGGAATGTATTATTTGGAGGAGCTGGAAGATTTGGGAAAATATGAATGATATTTGACGACTTGTGCACGTGAGCAGAAAGACGTATATTGAAAATATGAATAGGCTGTAAAGTATTCCTTTAGTTGTTTGTGTGAAGTTCTTCTCTTTGTTATTGTTTTCTTTCCTGAGTATTATTTAATATTGCTAATAAATGTTTTGTTTTTTATTTGAAATTTAAATTTGTTTTATTTAATCAAACGGAAAGTTAGTCTTTTAATTTCAGGTGTATTTTAATGTAAAATCATCGACACTGAAAATAAATTAATGGATATATCTGTTTTTCTTTATTAGTGGATTTATTTCATTAACGGAAAAATTAGAACCATCACAATATCAAATGAAAATAAATGTTTCCAACATCATAAATAATGCATTCAATGTCGTCAATAATTGACTTATCTTGTGAACTTTCAATAAAACGCGAAAAATAAAATTAATTTACAGCTAGTGTCAGACGAATAGAGAAAATTGATATTCCATTCACTCTGCTCGGTGACCAGACCC